TTATCAAATCGTTTCACAAAACATTAAGTAACAAAAACTTATAACAACATACAAAACTGTTATCATATCCAAAATCTTTACGGCATCAAATATCGAACAACTCAACTCAAATCAACTGGTATCATTTCTACAAATCTAGCTTACGAGGTGGTTTGCTGAGTCTACCCGATCTAGTGAAAACTTTAGTTTCCGTTGTGTTAGCGGTAGGTTTCAACTCTGAATTATCATAGTTATCAGGCTGTTTTGTGTCATGTAAATTGTCATTCTTATTTGTGCTAAAAGAATTCTCAACATGAATATAAGGTTTGCTTAGATCACTCATATGATTGTCACTAGAGTTAATATCAATGCGCATATTCTGATCACGTGGAGTAGTTGGTGTAGCTTCGCGGGTTTCGAATGCATGGCGACGATTACGTCTGAATAATTTGCCCTCAGGAGTTTCTATTATGTAACTGCGTGGTACATTTTGACATTTATTCTGGATTGTACCGTACTTCCATTCTCCCTTCAATGTACGTAATCTCACATTATGTCCTGGCTGGAATGCATGTTTAGTTGTACTTGCACGTATATCGTAATAATACTTCTGAGTCATCTGGCGTTGTCTGAGCTTTGCATGTGCATTTTCAACGACTTCTGGTTTGAGCAACTCTTCAGTGACAGGCAGTTTTGATGCTAGTCTACGACTTTGCAGTAGTTGTGCTGGCGATTTATTTACTGTGTCTACTGGTGTGTTTCGAAAGTTGAGTAGAGCAATATATGGATCATGCCCTGTTTCTTCACATTTCTTTATCATCTCTTTCACGGTCTGAACTGTGCGTTCTATTTGACCATTAGCTTGCGCGTAACCTGGACTTGAGGTTGTGTGACAAAATCCCCATTGTTTTGCAAAATATGCATACTCGTGCGATGAGAATTGAGGACCGTTGTCAGTAACAACTTCTTTCGGTATTCCAAAACGTGCAAACATTGACTTTGTTGCAGAGATTACCGATTGACTACATGTATTGGGGAGCAAATACATGTCTGGAAACTTTGAATAATAATCAACAGATAACAAATAATTTCTTCCCTTGTATACGAATAGGTCAGATGCAACTTTGGCCCATGGAATGCTTGGAATGTCATGCGGTATCATTGGTTCAGCTGGTGGCAATTTGCTAGAACTCTGACATGTGGCACAACGCGACACCATATCTTCTATTTGGCTACTCATACCTGGCCAAAATATGATATCACGGGCTAATTGCTTTGATTTGACAATCCCCATATGTGGCTCATGTATGCGTTTGAGCATTTCGGCTTTATGACTTTCTGGGATGACAATGCATCCGCCCTTGAGTATCAGACCATCCCTATATGTTAACTCATCTTGATAAGTCACAAAAGGTTTTAACTGCGATGCTTGATATGTCATGTTCTTCGTGTCTGGCCATCCTTGAAGTATAGCATCCTTCACCAGTTGTAATGCTGGGTCTGCTGCGGTTGCATCTCAGAGTTCACCTAGTTTATGTGAACTGAACTGTACAAAGTTTACCTCTATTGTGTCATCAAACAAATCTGCAGTTGAATTGTCTCTAATAAAAGCACGAGACAACGTGTCTGCTAAGAACATCTCTTTCCCTGGACGATGTACGAGGCTAAGATCATAGCACTGAAGTCGCATTCTCATACGTTGCAATCTTGCGGATAGCTTGTGAATAGGCTTTGTCATAATAGCTAATAATGGCTTATGGTCAGTTTCTATATGAACTTATTTGCCATAGATGTAGTTGTGAAATTTAGCATAGCCAAAACAAATGGCAAGCAACTCTTTCTCAATGACGGCATACATGCGTTGAGTGTCATCGAGTGCTTTAGATCCAAACGCTATGGGATGTCCATTCTGTAGTAAGGCTGCACCGAGACCATATTTGCTAGCGTCTGTCTGAATAGTAACAGGTTTGTTTACGTCATAGAACTTGAGGATTGGTGCTTGTGTAACGAGCGATTTAAGTTTGTCGAACGCATTGATTTGTCGGTCTTGCCAGTGCCATTCAACTTTGTCTTCAAGTAATTCTCGCAATGGCTGCGTTACCGTTGATAGATTTGGCACAAATTTCTGTAGGTAACTTATCATGGCTACGAATCTGCGTATGTCTTCCTTGCAAGTAGGAGTTGGCATGGTAACAATGGCTTTGATTCTCTCTGGGCTAGGCTTGAGACCTTCTGCTGATAGTATGTGTCCTACATATTCAACTTGGTTGAGACCGATCTTTGTTTTCTGCGGGTTTAGCTTGAGGCCAACTTCACGTGCACGCTTCAAAACATTCTCCAAATTCTGGTCATGATTGCGTTTATCACTGTCGTGAATACAAATATCGTCAACTACCATCTCTACGCCTTCTAGGTCACCAAATATATCTTGCATGACCTGGTTAAATATGTCACCACTTGTGTTGATGCCAAAAGGTAGCCTGGTGAACCTATAACGCCCCCACGGTGTGTTGAAAGTGCAAAGTTTGGAGCTTTGTTCATCGAGAGCGATTTGCCAATACCCTGATCGAGCATCAAGTTTCGAGAACAACTTTGCATTTGGCATTCTTGCGGCTATTTCTTCAATGGTTTTGGTTGGATGATGTGCTCGGCAAATTGCTTTGTTCAGCTTTGTAGGGTCCATGCAGATGCAAATTTGGTTGTTGGCTTTCCTGACTATGGTCATAATGTTCACCCAAGGAGTTGGTTCAGTTTCTGGCACTATCACACCTATCTCTTGCATGCGATCTAGCTCTGCTTTGACTTGATTGCGAATAACGTAAGGGATACGGCGAGGTGGATCTGTACTGGGTTGTATAGACTCGTCTACATGAAGGTGATAGTTGTTTTTGATGCATCCAAGACCAGTGAATACATCTTTATACTCTAACTGAATATGCTCTGTTGTCAGATTACTTGTGACGGCATTTACACGGCGAATTAGATTAAGCCTTTGGCATGTATCACGGCCTAAAATCGGTTCTCGGCTGTCAACCACTTGGAATGTTACATTCTCGCCATTGATGTCAACTGTAGTTTCACCTATCGGGAAAATATGATGACTGGAGTACGAAACAAGCTTGCATTGCCTTGGTCTGAGTGGCGTTTGAATCCGCTCGTAATACTGTAGTGGCAAATTGTCAGCTTCACTGCCAGTGTCTAACTTGAACTTTATGTCTTGGTTACCAACTTTGAATATCTGAGTCCATGGCTTGCATTGGTCAATTTTGTCGATATTGATGCTTACTCTTGTGATCTCACCCATAAATAACTGATCACCTGCTATGTCATCATCACTGTCACTTTGATTTGATGTGTCAATGTCATTCACTTTGTGAGAGAACGATTTGCGTTTGTTGAATCTAGAGCGAGATTTGCAAACTGATCTAAAATGCCCTAATTTGTGACAGTATAAACACTCTTTCCCATATGCTGGACAATTGGCTCTATTTGCATGGAAAGGACCACCACAATTTCCACACTTCTTGCTGTCACGAGCGATTGATTTTTCATCATTATCTTGAAATCTGGTTTTGGCTGGGCGCTGGGCGCGATGTCGGTAGAATTGGCCATTTTGTTTTACTGCGTGTACACTGGCTTCGGGCGTTTTCAACTGCGACGCGCTGATTTCACTCAAACGACAAATATTCACAGCTTTCTCGAGAGTTAGATCTTCAGTCTGGAGCAGTTTCTCACGCACACTCTCATCACGAATACCACAAACGATACGAATTTTCCAACGTGTTGTATTCACAGTCTTTGACTTTCTGACGCAATTCAGTGAAAAATGTATCGAATGTTTCACCTGGGTTCTGTATGGTAGAATTAAATGCGTACCTTATGACAGTAATGTTGCGTTTGCCCTTGCAGTAATTCAGAAATTTGTCGCGGAGAGGTGCTATTTTGTCGATATCTTCATCGGTGAATGACCAAGTAGCGTGTACTTTCTGTGCGGCATATCCGGCGACATGAAGAAATACGTTGCACTGTACCTTCTCGTCTTTTGTCGTGACACCACTAGCAATTGCGTAGATGTCGTATGCTTTGAGCCAGTTCTTGTAGTTCTCGTGAATGTTGCCTTCTAGCTGGAGCGGTCCTGGAGCTTTCAATCCCGTGGTCATTGTTGCAACATCCCACTTCTGACACCATGTAAGATTGACTGGTCGTGACTACGATGACGCCATGTTGAAGACTGATCCTATTTATTCAAGACTTATCAATGACGTAATATAGATTAACAAATGAGCATCGGTACAAGCATGAATACATACATTACACCTTCCCTTCTGAGCTTGTTTTTTTTTTTCTCATTACAGTAGTAGTACATGTTTAGAAAAAATGATTTCCATTCAGTTCTTAGTGCGTACTGTTCTCACATTAATGTCAACATAGTTATCAAATCGTTTCACAAAACATTATTAAGTAACGAAAACTATAAACACTATTTAGGTAACAACATACAAAACTGTTATATCCAAAATCTTTACGGCATCAAATATCGAACACCACAACTCAAATCAACTGGTATCATTTCTACAAATCTAGCTTACGAGGTGGTTTGCTGAGTCTACCCGATCTAGTGAAAACTTGTTTAGTTTCCGTTGTGTTAGCGGTAGGTTTCAACTCTGAATTATCATAGTTATCAGGCTGTTTTGTGTCATGTAAATTGTCATTCTTATTTGTGCTAAAAGAATTCTCAACATGAATATAAGGTTTGCTTTGATCACTCATATGATTGTCACTAGAGTTAATATCAATGCGCGTATTCTGATCACGTGGAGTAGTTGGTGTAGCTTCGCGGGTGTCGAATGCATGACGACGGTTACGTCTGAATAATTTGCCCTCAGGAGTTTCTATTATGTAACTGCGTGGTACATTTTGACATTTATTCTGGATTGTACCGTACTTCCATTCTCCCTTCAATGTACGGAATCTCACATTATGTCCTGGCTGGAATGCATGTTTAGTTGTACTTGCATGCATATCGTAATAATACTTCTGAGTCATCTGGCGTTGTCTGAGCTTTGCACGTGCATTTTCAACGACTTCTGGTTTGAGCAACTCTTCAGTGACAGGCAGTTTTGATGCTAGTCTACGACTTTGCAGTAGTTGTGCTGGCGATTTATTTACTGTGTCTACTGGTGTGTTTCGAAAGTTGAGTAGAGCAATATATGGATCATGCCCTGTTTCTTCACATTTCTTTATCATCTCTTTCACGGTCTGAACTGTGCGTTCTATTTGTCCATTAGCTTGCGCGTAACCTGGACTTGAGGTTGTGTGACAAAATCCCCATTGTTTTGCAAAATCTGCATACTCGTGCGATGAGAATTGAGGACCGTTGTCAGTAACAACTTCTTTCGGTATTCCAAAACGTGCAAACATTGACTTTGTTGCAGAGATTACCGATTGACTACATGTATTGGGGAGCAAATACATGTCTGGAAACTTTGAATAATAATCAACAGATAACAAATAATTTCTTCCCTTGTATACGAATAAGTCAGATGCAACTTTGGCCCATGGAATGCTTGGAATGTCATGCGGTATCATTGGTTCAGCTGGTGGCAATTTGCGAGAACTCTGACATGTGGCACAACGCGACACCATATCTTCTATTTGGCTACTCATACCTGGCCAAAATATGATATCACGGGCTAATTGCTTTGATTTGACAATACCCATATGTGGCTCATGTATGCGTTTGAGCATTTCGGCTTTATGACTTTCTGGGATGACAATGCATCCGTCCTTGAGTATCAGACCATCCCTATATGTTAACTCATCTTGATACGTCACAAAAGGTTTTAACTGCGATGCTTGATATGTCCCGTTCTTCGTGTCTGGCCATCCTTGAAGTATAGCAGCCTTCACCAGTTGTAGTGCTGGGTCTGCTGCGGTTGCATCTCGGAGTTCACCTAGTTTATGTGAACTGAACTGTACGAAGTTTACCTCTATTGTGTCATCAAACAAATCTGCAGTTGAATTGTCTCTAATAAAAGCACGAGACAACGTGTCTGCTAAGAACATCTCTTTCCCTGGACGATGTACGAGGCTAAGATCATAACACTGAAGTCGCATTCTCATACGTTGCAATCTTGCGGATAGCTTGTGAATAGGCTTTGTCATAATAGCTAATAATGGCTTATGGTCGGTTTCTATCTGAACTTGTTTGCCATAGATGTAGTTGTGAAATTTAGCACAGCCAAAACAAATGGCAAGCAACTCTTTCTCAATGACGGCATACATGCGTTCAGTGTCATCGAGTGCTTTAGATCCAAACGCTATGGGATGTCCATTCTGTAGTAAGGCTGCACCGAGACCATATTTGCTAGCGTCTGTCTGAATAGTAACAGGTTTGTTTACGTCACAGAACTTGAGGATTGGTGCTTGTGTAACGAGCGA